TGCCTCCCAGCACACATAAGGGGGATTACCAACAGACCCCTGGCAGTCTTCAAGCTGGCACTGGACAAGCACCTAAAGTCAGTTCCGGATCAGCCGGGCTGTGGCTCGTATGTTGGTTTGCGTGCAGCCAGCAGCAACAGCCTGGTTGATCAGGCTCTGATCCACCAGGAGGCCTGGTCTCAGACCGGGCCGCGGGGGCGTTGACCCCCGGAACTCTCTCCAGGTAAACTCCAGGTACCATGAAAACTTGGTTGATAAAGAATTCCCCCCAAAATGCTGATGGATGTGTCTATAAGATTCCTTGTAAAATTTGTGATAAATTTTATTACGGTCAAACTGGTAAAAATCTCGAACTAAGATTAAAACAACATAAATATACAATTAGAACTGGACAAGATTCCAATGCTCTATTTATTCATGTAAGAGATTTTAACCATCCAATTGATTTTCAAAAAGTTGAGAAAGTTGTATCAAGCAAGTCCATGGTCGACAGGAATATAATTGAATCTTGTTTCATAAAAAGCAGCTTTGACAATAATATGAATATTTCCTTTGGTTTATATAAATTAGATCCATTTATAATTAATAGAATTTGGGAAGAATTTAATAATACATTGGACAAATAATAATTTTTTAAATTCTTATTTCTTGGGTAGAATAGTTTGTTGGTGGGTTGTGTGAAGGACCTGTCTAGTTGGGCCGGCGGGCCTGCTGTCTCGCGTCAGGTGTTGTGGGATCTGATAGTGAGGTGTGGGCTACCCCTTTATATACTCTCCTTTGATGCTTTACTTTCATTGTTCTTTGTTAATGTGAGTAGTCACGAAAGAGCTATATATATATATTATATATATATATATATATATATATATATATAATATATAATATATATATATATATAATATTTTATATATATATACATATATATGTCGTGCCGAGTAGGTAATATTGCTCAATTAGAAAGAACTCATTTAAAATTAAGTCCTTTCTAAAATTTTCTCTTAAATATTTTCTTATTTTTTTCATATATGTTAATGTAAAAATTAATACTTTTGCACCAAAAGAACTTTAGAAAACTTACCTAACCTTATTACAGCAAGTGCAATTTAATTTAGCCTAATCCAACTAAATGTATTTTTGATATAAATGTATTTTTTATATAAATCCCAATACTCTATTTGCTCTATTACGTACGCTTAGGCATTGCTGTCTTGGTTTAAGATTACTACTCACCATAACCCCCAAGTCCTTTTCGCAATCTGTATGGCTAAGTTCTACATTATTTAACTTTTAAGTGCTAGGGTTATGGACACTCCCGAGCTTCAGAACCTTGCATTTATCTACATTGAACTGCATCTGCCACTTTGCTGACCAGGTATTGAGTTTGTCTAAATCCTCCTGAAGTTCCCTGATATCTACGTTTGAACCAATTATCCTACGTATCTTTGTGTCATCGGCGAATTTGCTCATTTCACTAGCAATTCCCTCATCAAGATCATTGATATATATTATAAACAACAACGGGCCTAAGACTGATCCCTGTGGAACGCCACTTGTTACAGATCCCCACTCGGATTTAACCCCGTTTATGGACACTCTCTGCTTCCTGTCTGTGAGCCATGACTCGATCCACGAGAGCACTTTTCTCCCAATGCCATGAGCTGCCACTTTCTTTAACAGTCTTTGGTGCGGAACTCTATCAAAAGCCTGACTAAAATCTAAGTAAATAATATCAAATTCTTTATCGTGATCAATAGTCTCAAAAGCTTTACTGAAGGAAGTTAACAAATTAGTTAGACAAGAACGGCCTCTCGTGAATCCATGCTGAGTATCATTAATCAAGCTATGCTTATAGAGATGGCTTCTTATAATCTCAGCTATAATTGACTCTAGTAATTTGCCTTCAATTGAGGTCAGGCTTATTGGGCGGTAATTTGACGGTAACGACTTGTCCCCTGCTTTAAAAATAGGAATTACATTAGCCATCTATATTAGCTAATGGTTCACAGAGTTCCATTTTGCATTCCTTAAGAACCCTTGAAAAAACCTCATCAGGACCCGGCGACTTATTTTGCTTCAGTCTATCTGCTTCACAACCATTTCACTAGTGACTATGATGTTGCATAATTTATCTTCTTCAGTCCCACTATAAAAATTAATTACTGGAATATTGTTAGTGTCTTCCTGTGTAAAAACCGAGAGAAAATAATTATTAAAAATTGAGCACATTTCATTCTCTTTGTCAGTAAGATGCCAACAGTTATTTTTAAGGGGACGTATCTTATCTCTAACTTTTGTTCTATAGACCTAGAAAAAACTTTTTGGGTTAGTTTTCGAATCCCTAGCAACTTTAATTTCATAGTCCCTTTTAGCTTTTCTTATCCCCTTTTTAATGTCCCTCTTAATGTCAATATACTGATTCATAAGATGACCCTCACCTCTTTTGATACGCTTATAAATTCCCTTCTTATGCCCTAGTAGATATTTGAGCCTATTATTCATCCATTTTGGGTCATTTCTATTTGATTTAATTTCTTTATACGGGATAAACGTTCTTTGAGCAGCATGTATAGTGTTCAGAAAACTGTCAGTGATAGCTCTCTTCGTTACCCCAGTCAACAGATGATAAGTGTTCTCTAAGCCCATCGTAATCTGCTAAGCGAAAATCTGGGACTGTTACTGAGTTATCCCTACTATCATACTTCCATTCAATGCTAAATGTAATTGATTTGTGGTCGCTAGCACCCAGTTCCTCTGAAATTTCTAAATTACTAACAAGGGATTCATTGTTTGCCAGAACTAGTTATTTCCCCTTGTAGGTTCTGTCACAAACTGCTTCAAAAAACAATCCTGAACTACTTCTAAGAAGTCGTATGATTCTAAATTCCCAGTCAAGAAATTCAAATCAATATGACTAAAGTTAAAGTCTCCTAGAATTACTACATTATCGTGCCTTGTGGCCTTAACAATTTCCTCCCATAGTAGTCTCTCTTGGTCCTTATCTAAGTTTGGGGGACGATATATCACACCTGAAATCAATAAACCCCCCACTCAAACTTCTCCTCACCAACCTTAACAGGACACACGACCATAACACAAGACACAGATCGCTTTTTGATGCACTCCGTGTCCATATCCTATTACACTGTGTAAAAACTCGATGCACATAAAGGGCCCCAAGATTTGGAATTCATTACCAGAAAATACGAAAGTAACCCGGTCTGAAAATTAATTTAAGACTCTTCTCAAAAGCCACTTACTTACTCGAGACTAAATACTCAATACTCAATACTTAACTTTACCAAAAAGTTTCCCAATTACCTAAATCTTAAAACTTCAAGACTAGATGCCCAAGTTCATACATTGACTGATACTACATAGTAGTATAAATACCTACCCAAAACAATGTAGCAAATAAATTCAGTGGCTCAAACTGGCACGTCTGACATAACAATGATTCTAAATAAAAATTATTAAAAAAATTATTAATAAAATCAAATCAAATCAAATCAAATTTTATTCCTTTGCAAGTAGTACATTGAGATTATGTATTTACAATAATGAGTTACAGTACAGAGAGAGCCTCTACCATGCCTAGGCATTATGGACAGACTTAATTTAATGGCTTACTGACTACTTAATACTAAATAAATTTATCATAGTTTAAGTTGTATAATAGTTCTATTAATTATAAACGAATCTGATTTATATAAACCAAAGGAAATATTCATATTATTTTCAAAACTGCTTTTTATGAAGCATGATTCAATTATATTTCTGTCGACAATGGACAATAGTTTCAGTAGTAAATATTGAAATTATATTATGAGTATATAACATTGTGATTTGTTAAAAGTAGTTTACAGTATGAGAATGTTACAATTGTAACATTCTCATACTGTAAACTACTTTTAACAAATCACAATGTTATATACTCATAATATAATTTCAATATTTACTACTGAAACTATTGTCCATTGTCGACAGAAATATAATTGAATCATGCTTCATAAAAAGCAGTTTTGAAAATAATATGAATATTTCCTTTGGTTTATATAAATCAGATTCGTTTATAATTAATAGAACTATTATACAACTTAAACTATGATAAATTTATTTAGTATTAAGTAGTCAGTAAGCCATTAAATTAAGTCTGTCCATAATGCCTAGGCATGGTAGAGGCTCTCTCTGTACTGTAACTCATTATTGTAAATACATAATCTCAATGTACTACTTGCAAAGGAATAAAATTTGATTTGATTTGATTTGATTTTATTAATAATTTTTTTAATAATTTTTATTTAGAATCATTGTTATGTCAGACGTGCCAGTTTGAGCCACTGAATTTATTTGCTACTTTTTCTCTTTTCATAATTTTTTCTGATCTTATATTTTATGAAGGCAGTATTTGAAACAATTCGTCCACATGGGCGTAACTCACAGATATTACCACTACACCACCTGGTAGACTATAAGATCTAAACTAAGATTTTATGGACAGATACTGTTGCCTGAAAAAGAAAACTTTTTTTTGACAGAGAGCCAATTCATCTTCAGCTCTCAGTAATAGTACATCAAATGTCCTACATTATACAAACCGAGAGGCTTACAGCATTGTTAAATTTAACTCAAATGCCAAAGAGGACCTTGCAAAATATTATTTAGGACAATAGTAGTAGACAACACAACTGATAAATTGAGAGTTCACGGTCAGCTCTTTTTTACGCTTAGTAGTGTAGTATGTATAGTTAACTTGTCAGCGGTGTAGCAGTAGCGGCTCTGTCTCACGCCCACGTAGCGGTGGGTCAGTTTCTCGGTGGTCTAGTGGTACCATCTCTACCTTATGGCTACGTTGTAGTTTGTAAAGTTAACAATTTTCCTTAACATGTGAGTTTCACAAATGTGTGAAATCCTGGTGTATACTTAAAAGAAGGTAAGAAAATTGATAAACAAACTGACCTAATTATTCAATTGGCACTAATAAAAATATCTTTATGATTTAGGGTATACTAGACACTGTCGCAAATCGTCTGGACGTCAACAATTATAGGCAATTTTGGATTCAAATCATGAACGGCAACATAATGTGAGTTGATATTCTAAGTTACGTTTTATGTATATTTATTTTTTACTCTCCAGTTTTTGGTATGGTCTTCCTCCTTTTGTGATGTTTGGGACGGGTGGAGCACTTCTTGTGTTGCTGCTGTCTACAGCTTACTGGAGCGTTCTTCCTAAGAAAATAAGTTGATTTTCCCTACTACATTTTATTTTCATTCCACTAAACTGTTCACTCGCAAAACAAGTCAACTTATCATTTTTTATTCTGACGCCTCTGTTGATTAACCTCATTTATCATTCTGACGAACACCTAATAATAATGAATGACTTACAATATAAGAATTTATTGTAATGTGAATATATTGTGTTGATTTATTGTGTTTAATAATCTCCTGTGTGTTTTAAATATCTAGTTTGTCTTATTATTTATGTTTATAGTTTCATCTCTGAATAATAATCAAACATGCGTATTAATAATAATAATAATAATAATAATAATAATAATAATAATAATAATAATAATTATAATTATTATTATTATTATTATTATTATTATTATTATTATTATTATTAAATGTCAAATATTCATTGTCTTTCTTTGAAAAAATATTTATTTTTCTTAGCTTTAACTTTCTACGACAGGAGTGAGGCTGTATGAGAGTATCTCTACTGTTTACACAGGGTCGGCAATGGAGGGGTGGTTGGACAACAACAGTGGGCGTCATTCCAAGACACCTCAGGCAGTCCTCCTATGGTTGTCAACTACGTCTGTCTCAGAGGCTGCTGCAACGTCCCTGTCCAGTTCTATTTTCCTGAGGAACCTGACTGGAACGCCGTGGAATGGGGCCTTGGTATCCCATAAGAGTTCTAATGGAACACCACGGAGTGTGGCCTCGGCATTCCATAGGAAACCCACTGGAACACCTTAAAGCAGGGCTCCACCATCTGATAGGAATCCCACTGTACCATCTTGGAGAGGGGCCAAGGCATCCCATATAAGAACATAAGAATGAAGGAACACTGCAGAAGGAAGTGTATTTGTCCAACCCCTTCCCAAAGATATTCAAGAATTTGCTTCCGTACACTAGGCACCAGTCAAACCCAGTACTTCCTATCCATATATTTGTCTAATTTCTTTTTAATATGTGTTCTGCTGGAGCATCATGTTGTGCATTGGCACCCTGCAGTAGTCTCGCTGGAACACCTTAGAGTAGGACCTTAGAATCCCATGTGAGTCCCATTAGAACACCTTGGGGGGGAGGGGAAGGAACGGTTTTGTCTTTTTTTTTCTTTCTAATTTTAATGAAATTTTTCCTGTGAATTAAGCAGCATTTGAAACCTACACACCATGTTTGTTTTCACTTTTTTACCTTATAGTTGGATAGAAAAAAATAAAATTGTTATATTCTATAGGTCTTACAAGATTTCTTTTTCAACAAATTTGGTAAGATGTATAATGTTCTAGATGACATCAGATTTAAGCATCTCCTTTGTTGTTTCTGTTATCATCTCCCAGACACTCTGATGGCCTGATATTACTTCTGCAAGGGACTTCTTAGCTCCATTCTCTCCTTCAGTCCCCCTCGTTGTCTGCTGATGTTCGCATTTTGCTCCTTTCAGACCTCATCAGCACATTCAGTTCTTCCTCCAGTCTCTGTTTCTTTGCCTCAGTGGCTACAGCTCATGATTCCCACTTCTTGCTCTCTGCAGATAGCTTCTGTGACATGTTATTGCAAAGCTCATTTACTTTTTTTCCCATTCTTGATCCATTTTGTTCTTGAGCCTTTCTACCCATTCTCCCTTTTCAGACCAGCCATCCTCGGTTCCCTTTCCTTTACATCCTCTCCTTTGAGATCACATTATTTTTTATTCTGTTAGGATGCTCTAGTTCCTGCAGTTTTGTGTAAAATTATGTGTATGGGGGAGGGGGTAATGTGGTAATGTGTTAGTGTGATTGTGTGTGTGTGTGTGTGTGTGTGTGTGTGTGTGTGCACATCTGTCTGAGAATGTGTGTATATGTGTGTGTGTGTGTACTCATCTAATTGTACTCACCTAATTGTGGTTGCAGGGGTCAAGACTCAGCTCCTGGCCCCGCCTCTTCACTAGCGCTACTAGGTCCTCTCTCTCCCTGCTCCATGAGCTTTATCATACCTCATCTTAAAGCTATGTATGGTTCCTGCCTCTACTACCTCACTTGCTAGGTTATTCCACTTCCTGACAACTCTATGACTGAAGAAATAATTCCTAACATCCCTTTGACTCATCTGGATCTTCAACTTCCAATTGTAACCCCTGGTTTCTGTGTCCTCTCTCTGGAACATCCTGTCTCTGTCCACCTTGTCTATTCCAAGCAGTATATTGCATGTTCTTATCATGTCTTCCCTAACCCTTCTGTCCTCCAGTGTCGTCAGGCCGATTTCCCTTAACCTTTCTTCGTAGGACATTCCCCTCAGCTCTGGAACTAACCTTGTCACAAACTTTTGCACTTTCTCTAATTTCTTGACGTGCTTGATCAAGTGTGGGTTCCAAACAGGTGCTGCATACTCCAGTATGGATATGACGTACACAGTGTACAGTGTCTTGAACGATTCCTTACTAAGGTATCGGAATGCTATCCTCAGGTTTACCAGGCGCCCATATGCTGCAGCAGTTATCTGGTTGATGTATGCTTCCGGATACGTGCTCGGTGTTATACTCACGCCAAAATCTTTCTCCTTGAGCGAGGTTTACAGTCTTTTGCCACCTAGCCTATACTCTGTCTGTGGTCTTCTTTGCCCTTCCCCGATCTTCATGAGTTTGCATTTGGCAGGGTTAAATTCGAGAAGCCAGTTGCTGGACCAGGTGTCCAGCCTGTCCAGGTCTCTTTGAAGTCCTTCCTGACCCTCATCTGATTTAATTATCCTCATTAACTTCACATCATCTACGAACAGGGACAATTCTGAGTCTAACCCTTCCATCATGTCATTCACATATACCAGAAATAGCACTAGTCCTAAGACCGACCCCTGTGGGACCCCGCTCGTCACAGGCGCCCACTGTGATACCTCATCACGTACCATGACTCATCGTTGCCTCCCTCTCAGGTATTCTCTGATCCAACGCAGCGCCCTTCCTGTTATAGTACACGCCTGATCCTCTAGTTTCTGTTCCAATCTCCCGCGAGGAACTGTGTCAAAGGCCTTCTTGCAGCCCAAGAAGATGCAATCAACCCACCCCTCTCTCTCTCGTGTCTTACTTCTGTTACTTTATCATAAAACTCCAGTAGGTTTGTGACTCAAGATTTGCTTTCCATAAATCCGTACTATTTGGCGTTTGTACTCTTGTTCCGTTCCAGGTGTGTGTGTGTGTGTGTGTGTGTGTGTGTGTGTGTGTGTGTGTGTGTGTGTGTGTGTTGCGTGTGTGTGTGTGTGTGTGTGTGTGTGTGTGTGTGTGTGTGTGTGTGTGTGTGTGTGTGTTTGTGTGTGTGTGTGTGTATTTGTGTGCGTGTATTTGTGTGTGTCTTTGTGTGTATTTGTGTGTGTGTGTGTGTGTGTGTGTGTGTGTGTGTGTGTGTGTGTGTGTGTGTGTGTGTGTGTTGTGTGTGGTTTGCTCACCTAATTGGGGTTGCAGGAGTCGAGTCACAGCTCCTGGACCCCGCCTCTTCACTGGTCGCTGCTAGGTCCACCTCTTCTTAAAGCTATGTATGGATTCTGCCTCCATTACACTGTGTGTGTGTGTGTGTGTGTACTCACCTATTTGTGGTTGCAGGGGTCGAGTCATAGCTCCTGTGTGTGTGTGTGTGTGTGTGTGTGTGTGTGTGTGTGTGTGTGTGTGTGTGTGTGTGTGTACATTCACTTAATTGTACTCACCTAATTGTGGTTGCAAGGGTCGAGTCTCAGCTTCTGACCCCGCCTCTTCACTGATCGCTACTAGGTCCTCTCTCTCTCTCTGCTTCCTGAGCTTTGTCATACCTCGTCTTAAAGCTATGTTTGGTTCCTGCCTCCAGTACATCACCTGCTAGGCTATTCCACTTCCTGACGGCTCTATGACTGAAGAAATACTTCCTAACATCCCTCTGACTCGTCTGAGTCTTCAGCTTCCAATTGCGACCCCTTGTTTCTGTGTCCCCTCTCTGGAACAACCTGTCTCTGTCTACCTTATCTATTCCACGAAGTATTTTGTATGTCGTTATCATTTCTCCCCTGACCCTCCTGTCCTCCAATGTCGTCAGTCCGATGTCCCTTAATCTTTCATCGTAGGACATACCCCTGAGCTCCGGAACTAGCCTTGTTGCAAGCCTTTGCACTTTCTCTAATTTCTTGACGTGCTTTACCAGGTGTGGGTTCCAAACTGGTGCTGCGTACTCCAGTATGGGCCTGACGTACACGGTGTACAGTGTCCTGAACGATTCCTTACTGTGTGTGTGTGTGTGTGTGTGTACTCACCTAATTCACCTAATTGTGGTTGCAGGGGTCGAGACTCAGCTTCTGGCCCGTCTCTTCACCGACCACGTGTGTGTGTGAGTGTGTTTATATATTTTAGACATTTTTAAAATAAGGAAAGCTAAGGACGTAAAGGTACTTTACTTGATCAGTTTTGCAGACGACTTTCAAAAAATAAGCTTCCCTAAAGCAAGTCTATCTATTGAAATATGACTTAAATTTTTTTGGACACATTTTAGAAAATAATATTGACGTTCATTATTTGGCTATGCAATGTTACAACTACTTGGAGTTTACCTGGAGGGGGTGTCGGGGGTCAACGCCCCCGCGGCTTGGTCTGAAACCAGGCCTCGTGGTGGATCAGGGTCTGATCAGCCAGGCCGTTACTGCTGGCCACACGCAAACTGACGTACGAGCCACAGCCCGGTTGGTCAGGTACTGTTTTTAGGTCCAGTGTCTTCTTGACGACAGCCATGGGTCTATTGGTCTATTGGGAAGCAGTTGAACAGTTTTGGGTCCCGTATACTTATTGTGTTGTCTCTCAGCGCATTTGTGGCTTCCATGCTTTCCAGTGGGGTAATGTTGCATCTCCTGCCGAGTCTTTTGCTTTCATAGGGAGGGATTCTCGTGTGCAAGTTTGGTATTGATCCCTCTAGGATTTTCCAAGTGTATATTATCATGTATCTCTCTCGCCTGAGCTCCAATAATTTAGGTGCCATGAAAGTTCTTTGTTCCCTCTCCAGGTCAACAATTTCCCCTGCCTTGAAGGAGGCAGTTAGTGTACAGCAGTATTCCAGCCTAGAGAGAACAAGCGATTTGAAGAGAATCATCATGGGCTTGGCGTCCCTAGTTCTGAAGGTTCTCATTATCCATCTTATCATTTTCCTAGCAGATGCGGTAGATACATTGTTGTGATCTTTGAAGGCGAGATTCTATGACATTATCACTCCCAGGTCCTTCATATTACCGTTTCGCTCTATTGTATGGTTAGAATTTGTCGTATACCTGATACAGTTTTAATTTCCTCAAGTTTTCCATATCTGAGTAGTTGAAATTTCTCTTCATTAAACCCCCACATTGTTTTGAGTGGCCAACTATATATATATGTTTCAGTATAATTCCTTTAAATGATATACATAGCATACACTTGACTAAATTTATTCAGTACAATGTACAACGTAAAAAGTTATGATTACGATTTTCTTTCGTAAATTTTGTTAAGATTGTCACTGTAGACCATCCAGCAGTAGTCTTCTACCTTGCTTTTCTTCCTGATATCGAGGTAGCCAAATTACATTACATATCTTAATGTAAACATTTCTTTATCTCGTCACTGACCGCTACAAGCACTTTTTGAGAATAAATCAAGATGCAATAGTAAAATTTATATTTTGAATGACATTTGACATTCCATTTTTTAAAATGAATTGAACCGTTCTTT